AGGTTGGATGAGACTGAGGCTGTGGATGAGTTACTGAGTTTCATAGGTGGAGCCATCTTAGATCATGGCAAGATCCAGGTGTGGCCCTGCCAGTCCGTGGCTGATGAAGTGTCAGAAGAGGCTGAGGGACCCAGCAGGGCACCAGAGGCTACATGAAGCAGGGTGGGGTGGTGGCAAAGGTCTGAAGGCCTGGGCAAGAGCACACAGCAGGGACCCACAATTTGCATTTAGGAACCTCTTACTCAGGCTAGCGTACAAGTTAACTTGCCCCATTTAGTCTCAGTTGCCCATCTGTCAAAGGCTGTAATAATATCGCCAAGCTTCATGGGATTGTTGTGAAAATTAAATGAGATCGTGTATGGGGGGTGCTGAGCACAATGCCTGGCCCATAATAAGCACTTGATAAATAACACCTATAAAATAAAGGCCACTCTGGAGACTGACATCCACTAGGAATTCACAACATAGGAAAGAGAACACTAACATGAAAAATACATAAGAGGACCATAGGGATGGCCTTCTTTGTGGAAACAGCCTAGATTTTCAGAATCAAATTTGTGTTTGCATTCCAACCCTGAAGCTCACTAGCTCTGTGTAGATTGGAGGCAAGTAACTTCACCTGTCTGTGGTTAATCATGGTGATGGGTTGTTAATATCTTCCCTCACATGTATTAAGTGCCTGCCTAGTGAGTACCAGAGATTATACTGGGTGTTGGAGATAAAGAGACTTGAAAAAGACACTCTCCTGCGCTCACAGTATAGCTGGGGAGCCAGAAAGAGACAACTGGGAAAACTTAGACCTCTGGCAAAGCTAAGCCTGAGGCACGCAGGTAAATCCTTAATTACGCCGGAGAGATGTCTTTTGCCCTGATGCAGTGATTAGCTCATTCCCTCCCTTTTTTTAAAAATATAGAACTTAGTGTACAGTCCCCACTTTTTTTTTTTTTTACAATAATAGGGTTTTAGAAACTATTCTGGAAAGTAGAATAGCGGAGAATTAGATGTTTTCAAATTCCTATGGGCTGAACAGTCTGTATGGAGACACTTCCCGTCATGAAGGATTGTAGAGAGTGGGGTCAGAGCACAACCGTGGCACCTTCAGTAGGTTTGTCAGGTCCAGTTTCCCCATCTGTAAGGTGAGGAGAGTAACGGTCACTGCTTCATAGAGTTAGTTGTGAGGATTCGGTGAGTTAACACACATAAAATGCTTAGGAGAGCGTCTGGTACATAGTGATTATTCTATTAAGTGATGATATTATAAGGCAAAATGTCTTCCTCAGCCTCTGCAGGGATCATCAGAAATTGTGGGTCAAAGCAACAAAGAAGTAAACTAGAAATTGGTTTTAGAACGAGTAGATCTGCAAAGGGTCAGGGCAAAATAAAGGAGGACCTTCTTGTCAACACAGCTAAAATTCAACAGTCTTGACTGCAGTATCTACACCGTAAATATTGGTGGATTTCTCAAGTCCTTGCTTTGCAAGACAATGGTCCAAGGGAGTGCCTTATTTACTAGTTCTTTTTCTCTTTTTCCTCTAATAGTTCAAAAGAGAGAAACCCTGACTTTCCCTCTCTTCTGTTGGAGTCCGAACCAGCACTCCCAGCCAGGTGACAGGGCAGCTCTCCAGTTACCTGGTGTGAAAGTCCCCAGGCTCCTGGGCTGCAGGTTAAAACTCGCCTCTCAGTCCTTTCTCTCACTATATTAGCGAGATTTTCCCCGGGAGGATAAAGCCATTCCTAGGCTCTGGCTCTTTCCTCTAAGAATCCTCTCTCCTCACCTTTATTGCAGAAGTCAAAAGGGGGAGATTAGTGTGAATAAGAGGTCAAAGGGAGAGTAGCCCACAGGGGTGTTCCCCTACGGTCCCTTGGGAAGCTCCTGTCATTTTCTTCCAGTCAAATGTTTCCAGGACCACTTAAATGGTTTTGAAACTTTAGAGAAAGTCCTCACCTCTTCCCTATTGTATCACCCCCACCTCTCCGACTCCTAAGGGGCTTTCTCCTCTCGGAAATTTGAGCTTAAATGGAAATAGTATTCACGTAGAAACTGGTAGCCTTCTCTTTTTCTGCCTGCCTTGTTTCTGTTAAGCTAGATTCAAGCTGTCATGAGAACAGGCCTTTTAAAAAGAAAATTTACCAGGTTCTAAAAGAGATATAAAGCGAACAGTGGATGCCCAGGAACCTTGGCACGTTGCAAACCCTTATTTGTTATAACCTGCATGTGGTGAGATGGTTAATAGGAAATCCATTTAAGCCTAGAATACCCAACTCTGGTAAACAGTCCAAGGGCCATGACAAAAGTTTTTTCAATGCTAAATAAGAGCAAAAGGGTAGGAGTGAGGGTTTTCATCCAGCAAATGATTTCAATATAAAAATATATTTTTTGTGACCTGGCTTTTATTTTTTTTAAAGGATGACAGTGATAGTAGACAGCAATTTGTTGTATCCATTAGCTTTTAAAGAATTTACTTGGTAAAATTAAAAAGCTGACAATGCTAAATTGGTCCCCCTTATTTTGTTCACTTTATTGCACTGTGAAAATCAAAAGATTTACTGTCTGAAACCTACTGCTTCTCCAGCTGAGAAGGCCCCCTTGAAATCTCAGATGAGGTGCGGCTAAAAAAGAAATTCCCTTCCTGTAAGGAGGGCCTTCTGGGTTTGCATTTTCTATTTTTAACCTTTTTTTCCTACTTATTTTTTAATTGAGGTATAATTGACATATTAGTTTCAGGTGTACAACATAATGATATGATGTTTTACCTTTTTTTAGTTGTGGCAAAATATACACAACATAAATGTACCATTTTAGGGCTTCCCGGGTGGCGCAGTGGTTGGGAGTCTGCCTGCCAATGCAGGAGACACGGGTTTGAGCCCTGGTCCGGGAAGATCCCACGTGCCGCAGAGCAACTAAGCCCGTGAGCCACAACTACCGAGCCTGCGCTCTAGAGCCCGCGAGCCACAACTACTGAAGCCTGCGTGCTTAGAGCCCGTGCTCGGCAACAAGAGAGGTCACCGCAATGAGAGGCCCATGCACCGCAACGAACAGTAGCCCCCGCTCACTACAACTAGAGAAAGCCCGTGTGCAGCAACAAAGACCCAATGCAGCCAAAAATAAATAAATCCATATTTTAAAAGGTACCTTTTTTTTCTTTTTTTTGTGCGGAATGCGGGCCTCTCACTGTTGTGGCCTCTCCCGCTGCGGAGCACAGGCTCCGGATGCGCAGGCTCAGCGGCCATGGCTCACGGGCCCAGCCGCTCCGCGGCATGTGGGATCTTCCCGGACCGGGGCACGAACCCGTGTCCGCTGCATCGGCAGGCGGACTCTCAACCACTGCACCACCAGGGAAGCCCTAAAAGGTACCATTTTAACCATTTGCAGGTGTGCAGTTCAGTGGCATAAAGTACATTCACATTGTTGTGCAACTATCACTACCATCCATCACCAGAACTTTTCTAATCTTCCCAAACAGAAACTCTGTATTCATTAAACACTAACTCCCTATTCCCCTTCTTCCCAGCCCCTGGCAACCATCATTCTACCTTCTGTCTCTGAATTTCACTATTCTAGGTACCTCATATAAGTGCAATCATACAGGGCTTGCTTTTTTTGTGTCTGGCTCATTTCATGTCGTGTTAATTTCTGCTGTACAGCAAAGTGATTCAGTTATACATATATACATACGTATATATATATGTGTATATATATGTACACATACATATATACACATTCTTTTTTATATTCTTTTCCATTATGGTTTACCTCAGGATATTGACTATAGTTCCCTGTGCTGTATAGTCTCTTAAATGTGTTTTAAACCTGTTGGACAACTCTGCTTGTATTGAAGCTCTTTCAACAATAGGATGGTTGGTAAAAGGGCAAGTCTTGCCAGCTTTCTGTATTTACTCATCTGTAAAATTGTTCTGAGTTCTGTTCTGTCATTTAAACATATCGAAGAGGAACTGCCTCTTATAAAGGTGGCCACTGCTACTCATTTCCTATTGATATTCCCAATATGTAATGTAGGCCCAGCATTGCATGTAAAAATCTCCCAGTTTTCATGCATTGGCCAATAACGTTGGGCCAAATAGAACATGTTTGCAGGTCAGATCTTGCCCACAGGCCACCAGTTAGCATTTCTGCTAGGGCTTAACAAAAAGCACATTTTAGTGTGGCTTCACTGAGTCATTGATTCATTCATGCAATAAATGTTTACTGGGTCTCTACTACAGGCTAGGCTACACATGTAAGATATGGTTTTAAAAATACAAAATAGGAGAGACATAAATAGTTGCAGCATAAATGCTATAACAGAGCAAAAATAATGACTTTTATCGCGCACTTATGTGCCTGGGAGTTTTAAGAGGTTTACCTACATTAACTCACTAAACCTCACAACGATCCCATAAAGTAGGTATTTCATTTACATATGAAAAGACAAGCATACAGTGGTCAAACCACTTGCCTTGGTCACACAGTTGGAAAGTGCTAAGGGCGCGTTTGAACCCAGATTGATGCCAGAGCCCAAGGTCTTGACTGGAAGGGGGGCAGGGGGTGGGTTGGTATAGGGTAACCTGTGGATTTATGAAGATCTCCAGAAGTGACTTTTGACTTGTCTTGAAGGCTGATTTCAGCAAACACGGCCGGGAGGGCAATCCAGGCAGAGGAAATAATTTGAGCCAGGGATAAAACACTAAGATTGGCAGGAAATGAGTCTGAGAGAGGTCGCAAGGTCTCCAGTGCCATCTATTCAACTGTTTGTTTTCAGGTGAGATATCAGCTCATCGACAGCTTACGTCTCAGTACTAACTGTAAGGGTAAGTAAGAATTGTGTAGAAACAGAGGGGTATTTACAAGCTCCAGAGAGGGAAGCGCACCGGACCTATGCAGCATTGCCCGCGACCACCTACAGGGACTACAAGTCCCGTCATGCAGCGGGGGCGCCGCCGGGAGCCCCGAGTCGGCCCCGCCCCTCCGCAGGCCCCGCCCCGGCCCCGCCCCTCTCGCCCGTAGCCCCCTCCCGCCCGGTCAGCCCCGAAGAGTTGCCCGGTGGCCGCGGCAGACGGAAGCCGAGCGAGAACCTCGGCGGCGGCAGGATGGGGGACTCCAAAGTGAAAGTGGCCGTCCGGATCCGGCCCATGAACCGAAGAGGTGAGAGCCGAGCGCGCCTGGGGCCGCCGCGGCGGAGGCGGCAGGTGCCTGGCGCGCCCTTCCCTTGGCCGCGGCCGCCGTGTGGGGTCCGGCCGGTCCCGCACCTGGAGTTCGTGTCTGGGCGGGGTGGGGGGGCGGCCCGCGCACCCCGAAACCTCGTCGCCCGTGCCCGCCCCGCCTGCTCGGGACGCCCCTCCCCTGGCCCGCACCGCGTCCCGGGGCGCCGCGGGCCCCATGTCCCGGCCCGCTGCCCCTTCCGCCGGCGCGCCCGCCCCGCCGCCCTTTTGCCCTCCTGTCTCCCTGCCCTTCTAGGAGGGCGCCCGCGCCCCTGTCTCGCTTCCTCCTTCCCTACCCGGCCCCTGGTTCCGCGCCTCGCCGCGCCCCCGCTCTCGGCCCGCCAGCTGTCAGCGCGGCCCCCGCCCTGGGGTCCTCACCCTCCGGCCTGGCCCGGGACAGCCGGGGACCCCCAGGCCCCACGTCGGTGGCCCAGGCGCCCCGACCCCGCACTCCTGTGGCCCGTGGCAGGAAGAAGGGCAGGGAGTTGGGGTTACTTCTGAGAAAGCAGTCTAGTGCAAAAGTCCTTCCTCTTGGCTTTTCACTTTATATTCCTTTAACCTGGATTGTCATGAAGACTTGTAAATCCTTTGATTGAACTTGGGTAGAGGAGTTGCCCTCCCCCGACCCCCCGCTTTTTCTTGACTGTTAAGAAAGTTTTGTTTTTGCTTGAAGTCATGTTCGTCATCTCTCAACAATAAATAGATTAGGTGCCAAGATTCTTGTGAAATTGTATCTTTCAGACATTCTCTCAATTCTGCAGGGAGGGTAGAGAAAGCAGATAAACAGTATATTTTAAATCCTCTTTAGACAGTCAAATGTAATGGAGAAAACCTGACTCAAGTCAGAGGAGGTGGGCCGGGCCTTGGCTTTAATGCTTAACTAGCAGCGTGACAGGGCAAGTTACTTTAAGTGAGATATATTGGAAGCACCTCCTATATATATCAGGTGATACTAGTGGGATCATTATAGTCCCAGGAAATGACTTTTCAGCTGAGAAGGCTCTTAACTAATGCGAATCATTCGTGTAAGTACCAGAATCATTTTCTCAGTCATTTTTGCAACTTCTTTGTTTGTAGTTGTTGTTTATTTATTTATTTTATTATATTTATTTTTGGCTGTGTTGGGTCTTCGTTGCCGCGAGCGGGCTTTCTTGAGTTGCGGCGAGCAGGGGCTACTCTTCGTTGCCTTGCGCGGGCTTCTCATTGCGGTGGCTTCTCTTGTTGTGGAGCACAGGCTCTAGGCACGTGGGCTTCCATAGTTGTGGCTCAAGGGCTCTAGAGCGCAGGCTCAGTAGTTGTGGCGCACGGGCTTGGTTGCTCCGCAGCATGTGGGATCTTCCTGGACCAGGGTTCGAACCCGTGTCCCCTGCATTGGCAGGCGGATTCTTAACCACTGCGGCACCAGGGAAACCCTGTAGTTGTGTTGTTTAAGTCTGTATAGAAATGGAGTTGCTTTCTAGTTGTCTTTGCTGTCTTTGGTATATATTGAGGTACACAGTTCAACAAACAGGATAACATGCTTTCTAGGTTTGTCCTCTTGGAAGTTTTTTTTTTTTTTTTTTTTTGGAGTTGGTGATTCCTCCTGTCCCTGCTTGGCTTAAGGCTGTCAAGATGACACAAGAATTTTCCCTAAGAACTTAATTACTTTAAGTTCTCAACGAGTTCACGTTTTGGGTCTTCAACTTTTGCCTCATTAATTCCATGCTCTGACAAAATGAAAGAACTTAGATGAACTCTGACAGTTTCCAAAAGCTTCTAGTCCTCGAGTGTTCAGGCAGCTTTATTTCAATTCACTTCAAGTTTATTACCATCACAGTGATTAAAAAAAAACAAAACAAAACACCAAGCTGCAGAAAACACAACTTAGCTGGGATTTGATTTTGAAAGGATGATTTCGGCACATTAAAAAAATTTCCTATTCACGAAAAACTTGGGAAATGCCAGTGCTAAAAAGAGGCAGCTAACCCACCACCACCAAAGACCTATCTCGGATAATTAAAATTCTTTCCTCTTTCCCCTCCCCCGACCTTGAGTTTCAGTTTTCCAGGGGAAGCACTATCCTTTTTACTTATAAATTGACATTGATTAGATTGTAATAGTTGTCAGTATCAGAGGTTCAACGGGTACTTAGAATAATACTTTTAGCTTTGGAAAAGATGTTAGTTGTCCCTTTGGCTGAATTCATTTTAAAATTAAGGTTTATGCATAGATCCATTACCCTATAAGTAGAAGCGCGTTGTTCGTGGTATACTGCCTTCTGATTCATTTAGTGCTGTCTCTTACCTAGCCTCACATTTCCTGAATGCACATGGACTTTTTTTTTTAGTGATTACTACAGATAATTAAAAGTGGTTCTATTTCTATTTTGTCATAAAGTAGTCATTTACATAAATCTAGAGGTTCTTGTGGAATACAATGGAGTGGAATTCTAAAGCCAGTGATTTTTATACTGCTGTGTAGAGTTTGCTTAAAAAGGCTAAAACAAAGTCATATCCCTTTCCGGTAATTTTGAAAAAAATTATTACTGTGACCAGTTATTACTTCCGGGAAAATTAATGGATTAAGTAATAGTATACAATTCTGATGAATAGTAAACTTTCAGTCATAATTGTTTCTCCCTTAGCAGGTTAGTGCAGGAGGCAACCTCAGAAATCACTCTTCACAAATGAGAATGAGATGAGAATGGGTTCCTGGGATAGTGTAGTTTTACTCTAAAGACTGATAGTTGGAATCACGTTAGCTACTTGTCGAGGAAAATCTGAAATTTGCAAGAAGCTTCTAGTGTACCATTAAGTCCTTCATGTGATTCAGTATCTGACTGTGCTTAGGTGTTAAGGTAGATAATTGGTTTATTATTTAACATTTATCATGGAATTAAGAGTGTTTCAGTCTTTTTTGCTAAATTACATGTGGGCTTGGGAAACTTAGTTATTTGAACATTCAGCATTAGGCCCTACTTCAATAATAGCAAGAATTGTAATGACTAATGAATATGCTTTTGTCGGGAATGTTTTTCTTGTTATACATTTTAACATTATACTAAGAAGACAAAAAATAAAAAGGAAAGTGTCTCTGACATTCTTTCACCTTAACAATTCACACTCATTTTCTTATTTTCATTCCAGTTCGTACTTACATACATATGTAATTTTACGTAGTTTTAATACTACAACTTTTGTTTTTGCTTTTCTTCATTTGAAGTATGAACTTAAACAGCTAAAGTAAAAGAGGTTAAGCTTGTTTTGTCATGAGATCTGGGAGTTCTATTTGCAGTTCTGTTTGTCATCTCTCAGACCTGTACAGCTCACCAGGTAACCTCTTTGTGTTCTGTAAACTGTAAGGAACACCCATTCATACATTATTAACCAGTGAAATTATTAAGTGAGCCGAAAGTTTTACAGGCATAATTGATGGCACTAGTTAGATCAGCGACACTCTCCTGTTCAGGACTTCGATGTTTTATAACTTTAGATGGCTTAAAAAATATTTAATATTTATTGAACGCCTGCCAGGTGTCTACCTTATCTTAGTATGGGATCTTATTGCCTTCCCTCAAGGGGCTTCCAGTGTTTAAATATGTATGAGATTAACTATCAAAATAAATAAATCTATATAAAAAGTGTTTGGGAAATATCTTTGCTGTCTACCTAGCCTAAGGTGATGAAACCGGAAATTACATTAGAAATTTAGCTAGAGAGAAAAAACAGTGAAATGGGTTATTTCAGGTGTTAGGAAGCATGGACAATAAATTTATTTTAACAGGTATTTCTCAACGGTTTGCTTTGAATTTTTCAGTACTTGATGCAGTGAAAATCACGGAGAAGGATCAACACAGTGAAAGACACAAAGAATAATGTAATGTCTAACTAGGAAAAGAAGTCAGTGCTTAAGTGAATCACAGTCTAGTTTCTCAGTGGATAAGATATAGACGTTAAAAATGAAAATCAAAACCATTTAACGAGGAAGACTTTTTTATGTTAGAAAAAGCAGAATGTAAAACAGTATGTGTAACTATATGGTTGAATCTACTATTATGATTATTACTATGTTAAAAATGTAAACAGGAATGGGCAAGGACTAGAAAGAAACATGAAAAAATGAGACTGATCTTGTTGGGGGAATTTTATTTCCTAAAAACTTTCTCTTAGTGTTGTCTAGTATTATAGTATTCAGTTTTTAAAAGTGCATTTTATGGTTTATGCTCATAAGGAAATGACCGTCACATGAAAAGATAAGATTAAAAGGTAAACACCTTCAGCAGATTGCTAGTTATTAAAAGTACCAGGTGAGTGATAGGGAGATGTAGGAATTTAGAGTGAAGGATCCCTGGAAACCTGGTGATTAGGGGAGGCTTCTTTCTCTGTGGAGGGAGGAAGCTTATGGTGCCTGGTGGGAGGGGTGGGGAGTTGGTTCTCTGAGGAGGAAGTATGGCCTGAGAGCAAAGGCATGGGGACAGGAATGAGCCAGGCAAGTTTAGGCACAGAGATGAGATTAGCGTGTGCTAACACAGGGAGGAGTGCTCCGTGAGGTTTACTGGAGAAGGCTGAGATTAGGAAGGTCAGGCGGAGTTGCAGGGGGCCCAGAAATCTGGCTTCAGGGTGGCTGGTCTATGTGCTCTGTTTAGCTTTTGAGAACTTCGTGTGGGTCTTGGACATAAGCATGACGGAGAAAGATTGCCAGATCTCAGGGCAAGATTGAAAGCCTGGGTAGGTAACTGATTCAGGGTATAGCTAGAAAACATTTACAAGTGTGTGGTGGAAGTGAAGCCATGTGAATAGGAAGATTAAGGAGACCAGTCAAAACCAAGTGAGCAATCGTGAATCAAAAGACAGCTGAAACTGAGGAAGTAGGAGGAAACTTGGAAGACCCTGGCCCATCAGTGAGGAAAACAGGTGATCCTTGGGAATCAAGGTGCAGGGTTGGGTGGGAGAATCTGTTTGAAAC